TCTGGTTGTGGATATGGTTTGCAAGCTGGGGGTGTATGTGGGATTGTGTTAATAACATGATGAATGGGTGTATCAGCAATATTATGTTCAGTTGTATTAAAAATTCGATGGAAACTGAATAAAAGTGCGAGAAGAGCATCATGATATTGGTTATGTTGTAGTTTGGTAGCTAATTCGCGAATATCTTTATCAACCTGTGGGTGTATCGAAGGAATTGTATAACAAGTAGTGGGATTTGTAATGACATCAGTATTATACTGGTGGTGTATTGGAAAATATTTCGAAGAGTCGTTCGAATAATGATTAGTCGATTTATCCATGACTAAGTCAAGAGAGACTGGCATCTCGCCAAAAGATTTGACGGCACCACGTGATTTAGTCGTTGGAATCGACGTGTGGTTATTTCGTTGTTGAACGATATAAGAACATAAGAATCCAATACAAACGCCTTTAGTAACGAATTGTGGATAAAGAGTTGTATTAGATAATGTTATAGTGGAAAAATGATTGTAAAATTGAAGAAGTTTATGTGGAATATATAAAGCACTATTTAGTATAAAGTGTTGATGAGGAATAAATGGTGAACTAATAGACGAAATAGGAATGGAAACTTTAGCTGTACGATTGGTATTAGGAGGAAGATGTAAAGATTTGGATAAAGTTATTGGAATAAGTTGCGGTGAATAATTTTGATTGATATTCATATAGTATCGACGATCATTGATCTCAATAGAAATCAATTGATGTTTTGTGTGGATTGTGAGATTATAGCGGGTAATGTAATCCATTCCGAGAATTATATCGGTGCATAAATTTTGAGCGACATGTGCTTGAATTGTGGTTACTTGATTTGCAAATAATATTGATAATTGGACAGTACCTAATACGTGAAAAGGTGCTAAACCATCAGCTAAAACGAATGAATGAGTATGTTTTTTGACGAAATTATAATATTGGAGTTTTTGTAATGATTTGTGGTTAATAAAGGTTTTGGTTGCTCCGGTGTCCACTAAGAGTTGTAGTTTTTGATTATTAACTAATGTTGTGAGAAAAATTAATGAAGGTTGTGATGGATTGTGTTTTTTATATCCGGAGGCAACACCATCGTTCGATGTCTCCGGTGCTAGAAATTTGGACAGGCACTAGCCTGATGCCCAAATTGTTTACATTGAGTACAATAATCAGTAGGTGTAGATGATTGTTGTGAATTAGGTTGTATTAAATCATTTAGTGGGAGTAAACTACTAACAGTAGTTTGTCGCGGATTATTACGAGAAAATGTCTTTGGACGTTGTTGA